TTTATGTAAAACTATCAATATGTTGGTGATTTTAATCTACTTAAATTGATTTATTTCTCAGGGAACACATCTTCTCAAGCATCGAGGTCAATTCCAAAAAGATTAAAACTACCTGGTGAAACTAAAGAAACAACAAAATGGACGAATACAGAGCTTCAGCGTGTGGTCATGCTGGAGCAGCTAAAATATTATCGGTTAAAAAATTTAAAGTTGAAATATACTACACCCCAACATGTATTAAATGAAGAGGAGATAGATATTGTTGTTGATATAAACATTGATGGAAATAAAACATAAAAACGTGAAAATAATTTTTGGTTACTGTTAAATGTACAGTAGTTTTAAATTTACTTAAATTAAGTTTTTTTTTACCATGTATTACATTTTCAACATTTAAAAACGTTATACATAGTATTAAAAGAAGGCTGAACTAATTTAAATTAATAGAAGTATCTTTATACATTTCAGTAACTAAAATCTTCTTTAAAATGTCACTTTTTTTATGTTTTATTTCAAGTTAATTTTTATGTTTTATTTTATTTCTTAAATGTCAGTTATAACTTATTTAAAAATATTTCTTAAATTTATAGCATAATAAAATTATATTACCAAATAATGCATATTTTAATATCCTAATAATAAAGATTTACTACATAAAAATATTATTATATTAAGTCTATAACATATTATAACTGTGAATAAGATATTAAGTCATAAACATATTATAACTGACATTTGAGAAACTTTTGTATGTTTTACTGTAAATAAAACTTGAAAATGTTAGCACATCTTAAAAATTCTTTAAATTAGTTATTTATCTTAGAAAACTTTGAAAGTATATTTTTTTATAACATAAACAATACAATAAATTAAAAAATTATGTTGTTTTCAATTTGTTACAAATAAAAAGACATTGCACTTAATTTAAAAGACATTGTCTCTTTATTTAATATTGCCAATGCACTATAATTTCTATGCTGCCGACCAAGTAAACGAAGTTTCTTCAATTACAGGAACAATTTCTTCCACATTTTTATCCTCGAAAATTGTTTAAAGTTTTTGCAATATTGTGCAGTATAAATTTCGCAGTGATACATGTAGCAATCATCTTCAGCTTAATTTTTACCTATAAAATTATCACACCGCAGATACTGTTGAATCAACAGTAACTGTATAACAACAGGATGCGGAATCCCAAAAAGGACTACGGATATGGATAAAGGCACAAAAAGATTATTTCTTCCTTGTTTTTGGTTTCCAGGAGCTCTAAAAATATTAATAAGTTTATGGACTACCAATAGGAAAAAAATTAAGACTTTTAGGTAAGAGGAACAATAATTTTTTGAACCTGGAGTCTTTGCGTATAATGGCGGCAAGAACTTCGGGCTTAAAAATAATAAGTTTCAAGTCATTAAATCTTGCGAATGTTTTACTTATAGCAAATTGTAAGTCAACAAACATGTTTTGAGCTTCTGGACATTACAGACTTGGAAAAATAGAGATATAAAGCCGGAGTCATTTTGGGACTTTGCATCCCTGCTGTTGATTGAATCAAACACTTTTCTATTATTAAGCTCTTCAGCAAATTCTCCATAGGGTTTATCAATTCTTGCATGGGTGCAATCAATAGCTCCTATTGGACAGGAATAGCCTCTTTCGTTTGCCCATTCCAGTTTTGCTCTAAAAATTTGTTCTTCCGTATGTGGGAAAACTATATACTGAAAAGTCTTAATCAAAATTTTTTGAAGCGCCAAAGAGATTAAAACAGTATTGCTAAAATTGTATTCCAAAAAAATAAATGTATCAAAAACGTGCTAGTATAATTATAAATAAATGCATAACGTAAAAATATATAGATATATACATCAATAGTCAAAAAATAGTAAAATATATAGGTAATATAACAAAATCAATGCCCGATTATCAAAAAAAAAAAAAAAAAAAAAGCAACTATTATAGGTGCTCGTAAATTTAGAAGCAATTGCTCGCCGTTTTTTGAGTTGAAGCTGTTTTATTCACGCGCTTTTCTCATATGTGAGCAATCGCTAAACATTTGAGCAAAAGCTCATGAGTAAAAGCTTTCGCGATAAAAAGAGCAATTGCTCAAAATTTTTATTCACGTAAAGTTGAGCAATTACTCCAAAAACGCTGAGTAAAAGCAATTGCTCTTTTTTATTCACCCAGCCTTTTGTCTTTTGCACATTCTATCATCAAATTAAAATAATTTACTTTATAAATTTTATTAATTTGATGTTTTTATTGGAGTCATCAACGTTTTTTCATTTTTTTAACAGGAGTAGTTTCACTTTCTACTTCATAATTTTCTTCAAGGTTAAATGGATGAATTCCTCACCTCATTCCATTGTCCACTCCATAATTTCAGTATCTAAGTAAATATTCAGTAGCTAAATTACAATAATTAAATATTGAATTATGCAATCTTGCCAATGGAATATCATCTTCTTCTGAAAAGTGATAGAAAGGAATGTTGTATTGAAATTCATCACTTGGCGAAAAAAGATGTTTAAATGAATTTTGTATAACTGCCACGGGAAATTCATATTGTGTCTGCACCACTAAATAAATAAATCTTTCAAATTTATTTTTTTCAGTGCTGACACTATTTTATCTTCTGCATCTAAAGCTACAAGATATCCAAGTAAATGTTTGTGATAGCGTTGTTTTAGTGATTTTATCACATTTTGATCTAGTAGTTGCAATAATGGTATGTTATTATTAAGTGTTATTAAGGGGAAAAACATAAATTCGGTGTATCAGTAAAATATTCTCAGACCCATGGCAAGTTGCACAATCTACTGAGAGAAGGGCTTTTATGAGAAGGTTTTTAGTTTCCAAGTGTCGAGTTACTGGAGGTATGAATATATCATTATACCAGTCATTAAAAAGTGTATAAGTTTGTCAAGCATTTTTAGATGATTTGTAATATACTGGCAATTTCATATTTTTGAAGCAACAAAAAGATTTTCATTTCCCTCTCATCATCAAATCTAATATATGTAGCGTTTGTACCTGTAGCGTTTATGTATACCTGTAGCGTCTATGTATACCTGTAGCGTTTACGCATGGCATACCAGAATTTTTTATAATTTATAATGTAGCGTTAACGCATGGCGTAACAGAACTTTTTATAATTTGAGTTTATGTTGTTGTGAACAGCTGGTTTCACTTCTGAATTTAAATCCAATATTTAGCTTTAAAAAAATAAGTTATTTAAACAGAACAGTTGATCTAAAAAAAGTTGCTTGTATAGAGGTTGCTTATAAAGAATGTTGCTTACAGAGAGGTTGCTTATATAGAGCATTTACTGTATTATGAATTATATATAATTTATCTTGATTATGTAAGTAATATACCAGTTATTTTTTATTACGACACATTAATTTAAACTAATATAAAACTAATATAACTAATATATATTTTTATATTAGTTTAAATTAATGTGTTGTATTAAAAAATAACTGGTAGCCAAACTTTATATTTATTGATTCCATATAAAGAATAAACAAATAAATAAAAAGTAAAACAATTTATTTTAATACAGTGTAAACACTTAACTCATTTTTAGTAAAAGGCATTACCGAATGCCGACCCTAATTCAAATGGTTGATATATATATATATATATATATATATATATATATATATATATATATATATATATATATATATATATATATATATATATATATATATATATATATATATACCAGGCTTTCCCAGGAAAAGCGTGCGGTCGCACGCCTTGTTTGTCCACGCATAGAATAAATTTTTCTGACTAACTGACCACGTTTTATTATTATGCGTTTCAAGAATTCGCGCCAAAACAAAGCTAAACGAAAATACCGCAAAAATGCAAGCAATCTTAAAGTAAATAAAAGAAATCTGTTTGTGCTTTAAAATTAAAAAATTAATGTATATTATTAAAAATAAATTTATTTATTTATTTTTTTAGGGTGGTAGTTATTTTAGCTATGAAAAATCAAATCAATAAGAAAAATCAAATCAAAGAGAAAAAGATTAATGTTTAAAAAAAATAAAAGGACCTTTCAATGTAAATTTGTTTATGACTTTTATCAGTCAGTAATTCTTTAAAATTCACGATAGAACTATAAACAATTTTTAAATGTTTCGTAAATACATTTAAATGTTTAAGTGTATTGATTTAAATGTTTGAATATATTGATACGCAAGAAAACACAAAAACAATTTCTATTTATTAGTAAAATATGTTGTTGTTTTTTTTTAAACGAAAGAAAATTTTATTGTCAAACGATTGAGTTGTTTATTTTGCAATCATTAATTGACATTGTGAACGAGTGTTAATATATAATAATGTCCCGAAGGAACTGTTTTTGTAACAATGACAACAGAAGCAATGCAATTATTTTTTTAACTTCTTTCGTAATTACAAAATTATGCAATTGAATAATTTCAACGTAATAAAAGGCGAGCATTGACTCAGTATAATCAGTTTAGAATAAGTCGAGAAAGAACTTTTTTCACATTAAATTTTGTTATGTTAAAAATCTGAAATAATATATTTAATAATTAAAACAGCAACTTGTTTTCTTGTCAAAGTATTGGGGAATAAAGTCAACGCCTTTACATAAACTTTCGTAAAAACTAAAGTAAATGAAAAAGTTTAACCAAATTTGTCTAGCGTAAATAATGAATCAGTTTTTTAATACATTGTCTGATAAAGTTCGTGAATAAATTACATATCAAGTCTTTTTATTTTCGTGAAAACTTTACGACTTATTGTCGTCTTTCCCTTGACTTGTATCAAATTTTGTAGCTGAAAATAGCAACCCTTAAAAAAGCAAACAAAAACAGTATAAAAAGTTTGAAAAAAATGTTCAAGACTTTTTTTTTTTTTGTTACAAGAATTTTTTATTTTTTAATTTTTTTTTTTATTATTAAAATATTTTTCTTACAATTTCAATTTTATACTTTGTTTAGACTTTGTTTCCTTTTTTTAAT